ACTATTGACTGAAATTGATTTTTTTTTCATAAAATAGCTGATATTTCTTGATTAACTGAGTGATCCAGCAGGATTGATGTTGAAATAATCATAACTTCACTTCAAGGCACTAAGAAGAATTTTTGAGCTGCGAATCATTTTCAGAGATATGAGTCTAAATTTCTTATCAGCTACTCTGTTGCTGTCTTGTAGATATTGTACCAAACTTGATAATGTAACTGTTGCATGGATTTTTTCTTCATTACAAGGTAAATTATGGGTTAATATAATCTTATTTTTGTTGATCACTGAGGCACATGATTGTTTGATTACTGAAATGATGGAAATAATTAAGTCAAGGATCAAATGGATATGCCATTTCAATTTGAATTCAGTTACAATTTTGGCAGATACAAACAGTAGGATTTCAGATTCAACAATTATCGATACTGACAATTATATATAGCTTAATATAATGATTCTATAACTTCTTACACGTGGCACCTAATTCCATTATTTTATAAAAAAAGTTTTTTGCAGGTTACCAGAAATCCCAAATTGGTGTGAACAGGAATTGACAGACCTCAAATCCTAATCTGGCCTTTAAACTCTAAATATATCTAATCATATCAAGTTTCTTTAGAAGTTGAGACCAATAACCTTATTTTTCTTCCTGTATAAAGTTACATCATCCCAAGTGATCATCAAATAGCTATAAACCTCATGAAGTGTTTCACCACCTGACTTTTCTCATGATTTCATTTACTGGACTCCATTACAGATCAATCACTCAAGACTAAAATCCAATTTTTGAGGTGTCGTGAAGAACACATTTTTCATTTGGGCAACAGCAATAAAAAGTTACAATGTTCCTAAGGAACATGAATTGCTTCACGGTAGCTAAATGCATGACCTATACTATCATTCCCCCCGCCCCCAAAAAAAAAAGCATCTGATCTGCTACTAGTTATTACAGCTGTTTTTGCGAGTTGAGACGGTTGAGACCTCGAGTTGAGACGGTTGAGACCTCGAGTTGAGACGGTTGAGACCTCAACGCTGATGATGGATTGAGCTGTTCAGCTATTGGTCCTACCTGTCTCGACTTTCACTCCTTCGGGAGCAGCCGGACCAAGGAAATACCTTGACAAGCAGTAAGTTGATTGTGAATTTGATGTTCAATGTAATCTGTGCATCACATGATCAATTAATAAATTGTATTTATCCTTACCATTATATTATTAAAAATATGTCTAACCAATATTCAACGCTCCTTTCAATAATCACCTAGTCGTAGCAGACTTGCTGACATTTGTTAGTAAGGTCTAATTGTCGTTAGGTGAAGCTGCACAGCTCCAATGAGTATATCAGCTATTTCAAAGATGCCGTAAACAGGAGTGACTTTACCATAAATTGGCATGAGCTCGTCTAGCAAAAAGAATGGTTTTGCATCATTCATAATTCACAGCGATCCCAGTAAAGTTTTCAGCTGAAATTCAGTCATGCACCTTGCTTACAATAGCTTTAATAGTGACCTGTAAAGTGATTTGACCATTTAAAAATATTTTCAGGTGAGGGCGCAACGTTGAAGATGACTGATAGGCTTGGCCGGTATACCTGTTAGCCAGGGTTCATCCTACCGCCCCATCTTCCTCATATGTCCAGCAGTCAGTTCCTGGACTCACACGTGGACGACCTCACGATCTTCGTGTCTTCCTCGATTCTTGACGCTGCGGAGGCTGACCTCGCTGGGCTTCTTCGGGGCGCCTCCGACTGGTCTGCCTCCAAGAAACTGGCAGTAGCACCGTGCAAGTCATCCGTAACGTTCATCACCACAGACTCCCACCAATCCCGCTCACCCCCTTCCGCCACTATCTGCAACGGCAGTATCCCTCTAGACTCTAGAGAGTCCAGATAAAACTCCCAAAATTCTAGGCGCACCTCGGATACTCACTACATGTTTTCACCACATGTCAGAGCTACAGCCACTAAAGCGGTGGGCTCTCTACGTATCCTAAAAGCCCTGGCTGGGATCAACTGAGGTTTATCCAAGGAGGACCTCATCGCCACCTACCGGACAATCACGCGCCAGATCCTCGACTGTGCTGCCCCACCACCGATTGCATCAGAAGAGGCCTCGCTTCCTCGCCCCCCACCTCACTGCGCTATCCCAGCTCCGCTCGGGATACTGTAGTTCGCTGGAGTACTACACCTTAATTAAGGGTCGGACGCTCCCCCAGCAGCGCCTGCCCGAAAAGCGGGGACCCCCTCCAGTCCGTCCAGCACGGCTTTACCTGACCCTCCTTCCCACGTCCCTCAGCGTCTCCTCATTGTGGGACAGTCCCGAAGAGGCGGCGGCGTTCCTGGCCACCCTTTCTGCCTTCGCCCGTCTCCCTCCTCTTCCGGTACCTTTCCCTCGGCCACCACCAGAGCCTCCACCCCTGCTAGCGTGACACCGGTGCCAGAAACAACAATGGGGCTTGGGAGCTTCATGAGCCACATTCAAACCATATCCCATGGTGCGCATGATTTGGGACTGTGGGAGAAAATGGCGGTATGATGCTCCTGCAGCATCTGTTCCCTATACTGGTTCATCTTTCCTTGGTGTGGAAGCTGTGAATTATATAACTGCTACCGCGTTACAGTCTTCTGTATAGCGGGTGTGATTGCCGCCCACCGGTGAGCTCACTGCACTTGCTACAGCTGGGTCAACCAAAGTGTCACGCAGTCCTTCCGTCCTACAATCTTGAAATTGGGTTCCGACATTCAGCTCACTTCATCAAAAAATAATGTAATGAAGTGGGACTGGTCAGTGCGTCGAAATTGAACCTTGCCAACACAACAATTCATTCTTGATACACATTAAATGCTTTCGGTGAAGACTAGAAAATCCTAAAAAATGATATTGGTTAATATTAAGAAAACTCTTCTCACTCTTTAGTTTAATTGAAAAGTGCCTGGAAAGTTATTCAATATCAAGATTATGATGATTGAGATTAAAATATAATTTAGCCATACGGCCCTAGTTAGATAAGAACCTTATTTTAATTTGTGATACATCATACCTACTCGCTCCTGCTGTGTAAATAAATTTCATATGTGACAAATAAACTGTGATTGATTACTTAGGAGCAAATTTGATATTGAATTGAAGGAAATAAGTTGATCAGATAGAATTTGACACTTGTCACTATTTTTTAGTGGTACATTTTACAAGCATTTCTTTAATGATCGGAATTGTATGACGCAATCGTAACATTTTCATTTCTCAAGTTTGCTTGACGTCTCCCTGATGAGTTAATAAAGTTTGTGTTGATGAAGCTTGTCGATGGGTTTATAAAGTTTGTTGATGAGTTGATGAAGTTTGTTGATGAGTTGATGAAGTTCAATATCAATTTCATTGTGATAAAGTTTGAAACTCGATCCTTCATGTCATACTTTGAGTCCAAAATCAAATCAAAGTGTATTACAAACACGAGCCATATGTTTTCACGGTCAGAGTTATTATCGGTGTTAAATTTTTACGGCTGCAAAAACCTATTTTTCGATAAAACCTATTATTATTTCCTTTTTTTGTCTACTTCATCTCATGTCATAGTTTGCTTCTATGTTTCAACTTTTTCAACGAATAACTGCTTTGAGTAACAACCATGATTAACCTGTTGAATTGTATTCAGAAGACTGATACAGGTTAATAATTTATGGATTCATGACAACGTGTACAGTATGTTTCTTGCACACGCGTGGATTTGATTTCTGCGTCGTATGTAATGTGAATTTTATAAAAGTAAATTGTTTTACATTGATCTGATTTTATTTCAACTTTCGTTCAGTTATAGAAAATTTATTATATTCGTACAGTAGAGTGTAAAAACTGCTAATATTTAGCAATCGATTTATGGAGATTCGGCAACGATTAATATAGATTCGACGTAGATCAATGATAATTCGACATAGATTAATGCAGATTCGGCTTCAGCTACTGTAGATTCAACATCATTCGATGCAGATTATTTGACACAACAATTACACAACACAACAATTATCGGGAGCAGAAACTTTGAAGATTTTCACAGAATCGGCATAGAATGCTCCTCTTTAATCGGTGCTGCGCCTCGCGACATTGCCCCCCTACTTATCGACTCCAAATTGGGTTTTGCCTTCGTCGATCGAGCAGGAATTTGCATCAATATTCTTGATCGAACCACATTAATCTTCGTCGATCGATCAAGACCTGATTGACTGGGTTATTATTGTATTTGTCTTCATACTTACTATTGTACTTACTATTGTACTTACTAGTGCATTCGCCTCTTACTTATCATTGTATTTACCCTGCCACACTAAAGTGCTTACCCTCCTAATTACTATTTTCTTTACCCTTCTACTTATTACTGTATTTACCCTCTCACTTATCATTATATATATCCTCCTACTCAATATTGTAATTACCTCCCTACTTACTATTGCACTTAACTTTCACCTACCATTGTATTTCCCCCCTACTTAATAATGTACTTACCTCTTTGCTAACCATGGTATTAAATCTCTTACTTCCAATTTTATTTACCCACATACTTATTATTATATGTACACTCATACTTACTATTGTATTTACACACAACTTACTATTGTTATTACCCTCCTACTTACTACTGTATTTGCTCTCCCACTTACTATCGTATTTACCTCCTTTTTACCACTGTATTCACCCTCTTACTTACTATTGTTTTTACCCTCCTACTTACTAATGCATTTGCACACCTAATTACTGTTGTATTTAATCTCATTATTACTAAAAACTTCACCCTTTTACTTATTATTGTATATACCCTCCTACATACTAATGTATTTGCCCTCCTAATTACTATTGTATATGCCCTCCTGCCTAATATTGTACTTACCCTTTTACATAAAATTGTATTTAACATTATCCAAGCAAGAAACCAAAACATTTCGCATGCTGCAGATGACGTACAGGCTTGGCTCCCCCAATGAATCCCCACCCACTTGTAATCCCCCAGGCTGCGGGAGGTGCTGCTGTACGTGGTGCCAGCGCTAAGCAGGGACAGCCCCAGCCACCTCACGCGGCGGTGGCCGCAGCTGAAGAAGGCGTTTAGGGATGCCTGCCTCAACGGCGACGAGGTGAAGAGCTGCGTCGCGCGCTGCCGTCCCGACCACGCGGAGATAGTAGCCGAGCTCGCCGCCCTGACGCCGGAGTACGAAAAATGGAACGTCATGATCGGTGGGTGACGTGTTTGGTGTGGGGGCGGATGCGCTGATGCTGCGGCAGCTGTGTTTGTCAGACGCCGACTAACGCTGATTGTCGCGGGTGAAAGCTTAACAAAGTTCTGACCAAATTAAAACAGATGATTTTTTTGCCTTTTTTGACTTTGGTGGTTACGTTGTGGTTGCCCGCAGGTCGCCATGTTGCCGCAGTGGCTGCTATGCTAAATCACGCTAAGCCATCGTGTGTGGTGATTGCCACGGATGCCGCGGCCCTGAGAGGGGCGCCGTGGGGGGCGCTTGTAGCGGCGGCGGAGGGCGTGGAGGTCTGGATGGCGCTCCGCTCCAACGACAAATACGGGCCTTACGACGACCTCCTCCTGCCGCTGCACGACAGCGGGTAAGCACCTGTAGCTGCATGTAAGAACCTGCAGGTGCATGTAAGAACCTGCAGGTGCATGTAATAACCTGCAGGTGCATGTAATAACCTGTAGTTGCATGTAAGAACCTCCAGGTTTATGTAAGAACCTGCAGGTGCATGTAAGAAACTACAGGTGCATGTAAGAACCTGCAGGTGCATGTAAGAACCTGTAGACCTGGGGGGCCGTGGCCCTCACCATCACCTCCCTCGCCCCCCCTGGCAAGAGGTGCGTAGCCCCCCGACCCCCGCGGGGGAAAATAGAGTACCATTCGTTATGCATCTTATAATTATACATCGTTTAATTATACATCGTATCGTCATACAACGAATAGTTATACATTTAAATTGTTTGAATCGGTATTGACATAATATATTTTTTTTAATTTAGTGATCGTTTGTGAGTCTGGGGGACGGCCAAGTTGAGGGATTTGTGCGTCTGAGGGAATGACACTGCAGTTTGTGCGTCTGGGGGAATGACACGGCTGTTTGTGAGTCTGGGAAAATGACACTGCAGTTTTTATGCCCAGGTTCGGGTTGCTGCAGCTACCGGGCAGCAGGCTGGGTGCCGCGGAGCTGCCGCCGCTGCTGCAGGCCCTGAGAGACGACGGCCTGAGAACGAAAGACGAGGGCGACACGCGCGCCGAGGTTGACGGGTGAGTTGACGGCGGCCACTGAACTGTGGGCCAATATTCCCATATCACTATGATTGAATGATATTCTCATATACATATAAACTACAATGCTAATATTGATGTGTAATTGTGAATGATGGCCGATGTAAATGAAACAAAATGGAGGCCGAAAAAAGATGGACCGCCCACTCAGATGGCGTCCAATCATTAGACACAGCGCCATCATCACGACAATCATTATCATATGACATATCAGAATAATGATATATCGTCATTATTGTTAATCCTATATCTTAATCCTCAATTCGTTTCAATTATAAATATAATTTAACAGGTTGGGTGCGGTAATCCACCGCACTACACAGTGCGGTGGATCCACCGGTGGGATGCAACAACTTGCAGGATATTTTTTCGGACAAATTCCGCGATTTACTTTTCTCAATTGCGTTAGTCGGCAGAAATTTATGATGGCTGTACCTACTTCTTAAATTAAATTAAATATTGAAATTTAAACAGTACGAAGAAGAATAAAATTAAATTTTTGCACTGGAACCTACAAATTTACCGGCTATATCGAATTTTGGGTCTTTTTTGTGCGTGGAATCGGCTGTTTTCTGGTCATGTGGCAACTCTGGGGGGTCGTACCGCACTCAACGTCTTTAAGTATTTATTATATGTGTATAATTAATATTTATTATATAATATATTGTTATATTGTACTATATAATAATATTACATTAAATATATTGATTTTTATAATAAAATTGTACATAATTTTAATCCTATATCATAATTATTCCAATATACTGTACTACTTTTTATAATCATGTATCATTATATAAGGTTAAAATATCCATGATCATCATCTATCATTAATATATTAAGGATAGTTTCTGTCATTCGTTGCCATTTGTCGGCCAATGACAGCGCCACGCAAGATGGCGGCAGCTGGCATGCCACATGCCACATGCCACGCAGGTTATTCACTGCCGCACTCCCACAGGTGGGGGGCTGTTGTCCTCCACATCACAGATTGCATGCCCGCGGGGGGACCAGCGGTGCCCAGTGACGCCGAACTGCAGGAGGCGCTGCAGAAATACCTTCGCCGACATGGACAATAATGTGTGTTTTGTGTGGGATTAATGGGGCTGCGTGTGTGTTTTGAGTGGGATTAATGAGGCTGTGTGTGTTTAGTGTGGGATTAACGAGGCTGTGTGTGTGTTTTGCGTGGGATTAATGAGGCTGTGTGTGTGTTTTTTGTGGGATTAATGAGGCTGTGTGTGTGTTTTGTGTGGGATTAATAAGCTGTGTGTGTTTTGTGTGGGATTAATGAGGCCGCGTGTGTGTTTTGTGATGTGTGTGTTTTGTGTGGGATTAATGAGGCCGTGTGTGTTTTGTGTGGGATTAATGAGGCTGTGTGTGTTTTTCGTGGGATTAATGAGGCTGTGTGCGTGTTTTCTGTTGGATTAATGAGGCCGTGTGTTTTTTGTGTGGGATTAAAGAGGCCGTGTGTTTTGCGTGGGATTAATGAGGCGGTGTGTTTTGTGTGGGATTATTGAAACCGTGTGTGTGTTTTGTGTGGGATTAATAAGGCTGTGCGTGTGTTTTGTACGGAATTATTAAGAGTGTGTGTATTCTGTATGACGTACGGATGTCCCTCGCTTCACTGTCATTATATATCGCCGCACTTAACGGCCTAGCCAGTCTATTTGCTGTTCGATATCATCTTATATAATTAGTTTTTACATGGTTTTATTTGTAACGCAATTATTTCATATTTTGTTGAACGAGTTTTAATTTATGAACATAATTCTTGTTCATAATGAAAAAATAATGAAAACCTAATGAAAATTGTTTTCATAATTTATGAAGATAATTCTCGTATTGTTGCAGGGCAGAGCAGAGTCACTCTCATCGCTTGTTCCTCACGTCTTGCTGGCGTCAAACATCAATGATGGTGACGAGGAACAGAGAGAGAAAAAATATAACTCAGTACTCACTGCAGTGAGTGACAGAGAGCGCATTATCTCGTCGACGAAAACCTGAAGTCACGGACGGATAGACAGACGGACGGACAGACGGACGGAGCACTATTGTGCATTTTTTTTCATAAATGAGAAAATGCGCTAAAAATGCGAGATGTTAACTGCTGGTCTCAATCCGTGGCCATGTCTGCACTTCAGAATGTATTTGCCAACTCCAGGGTATGTTATTTTATGAATTAGTTTACGTTTAGCGGAATATCAAGACATCACAGCGATGTGATTTTATGGACGGGAAAGATTTGAATGCTTCTGATTTTTCATTTTATTTCTTAAGGTGTTGAAGGATAACAAAAACTGTTTCAAGGATGTGCCAGGTAGATTTGGTTTTATTAAGTACGAAATTGTTTTTCCTGAGCCTGTAAAACTATCAGAAGTGTTGATGCTGAGATCGGGAAATGGATAGATTGGAGAATTGTCAAGAATTCAACCTGTCAGTGAACATCGCCTGTGGCGATCGGTCAAAATTGTGATTTTTTTTGCGTTTGACTGTCGATTTTTAGGAAGTCAATAAATTTTTCAAACCAGATAAGTTTTCCAATGCCAAATGCTGAAAGTGTGATTAGTTAGAAGCAAAGCGAAACTAAATTCATTGAAAAGCTAGGCTTAACTTAAGCATATCTATAAATGCCTTGGACTGAACACTGAAATAATTATACTTCTTTTGATATTTATAATGTTCAGTGCGAATTCAATGTTCCTCTTGGTAGAAAACGAGTGCATTTATTCGTAATAATTATGATTATTTTATCTTGATTACTGATTCGTATTTGTGCCTTGATGTGTTGTAAGATTCATTTATTAGCGTTACGTTGTTCACCCTGCAGTTATAAGAGCGGAGTGAGCCTCTTGTTGCTCACGTCTTCCGCTAGGGCGTTTCTCGCCACCAAAATTACATGAGGGATTAATTAGACTTTCTGTTTTGTGTGGAATTTAATAGACCGTATTTGCGTTGTATATGGAATTAGTTATTGTAATAAACACGTAATTAAATTTGCCACACGTGTTTCATTTGCCATAGTTGCCATAGTCGCCACGGACTCGGTGCCTGAATCGTGTTAGGGACAAAGAGATGAGATGGTCACGTTCGTAATGGTGCCGTGTCCCGACCACGACGCGTGCCGCTGTTTGTGTTATTAGTAGTCACACGAAAGAAATTATTTTCCTCCATCAAACCAAATTACTAATTAATAATATTCAATAATTTGCGGTATGCCACCTGGAAGGAAAAGCAAAGTGTTTTTACCCATTGTGTTCCTAATGGACTCTACATCGTAATTTGCTTAGAAATGCAACTTTCCTACAATGAAGCGAAAGACTAAGTTTGAGAAAGTTCGTGCTAGTATTTAATAGGATTAAGTTGACAGTCTTCAGAGTTGAAGGATATTTTTGTGCTTGTATTGAAGTTATACACACCAATTTACATATATCTGATGGGTCTAAGTTTCCCGGCAATAAAATCTCAAGGAAGAGGTTTTCACATCCAATGTGTTTAATAAATTTTATAAAAGGATAATAAAATATTTAAAAGATTCGCTGTTCACGCGTTGCAAGATAAATTTTTACTTTCGTCTGTCACGTTATTGAACGAGAATAAAAAATATAAAATTGATCATAGAAAATGAATTCTTTAGGAAAAGTTCTTTCGTCAGACAGGCGACCTGCGATCTAGCCAGTGTCGCTCCAGACAGGCGACCTGCGCCCCAGCCTGCGTCACACCAGACAGATGACCTGCACCCCCAGCCTGCGTCACACCAGACAGGCGACCTGCGCCTCCAGCCTGCGTCGCAAGGACGAACGCATAAAAAGAGGGAGAGCATCTTTATACTTGAAGAACGAACCGATTTTGAAGTTATTCACCAATAGCACCTGCAGATTTACATTCGGAAGATATTTATTGATCAAATCTTTCAATTCCCTACAATTCCCTAGCCATATTCTCAGATGCTTTACCGAAGTAGGGAAAAGAACAATAAATCAGGTTCCTACTGTCACAATCGGGAACAACTTCATTGTATTGCCTTGACATGAATTTCTTAATTTGACTATAAATCAGTTGCGATGGAAACCCATTAAAAGAAAATGACTGATTTATAAAAATTTGACTGATTTATAGTCAAATTAAGAAATTCATGTCAAGGCAATATATAATGATGAAGTTGTTCCCGATTGTGACAGTAGGAACCTGATTTATTGTTCTTTTCCCTACTTCGGTAAAGCATCTGAGAATATGGCTAGGGAATTGAAAAATTTGATCAATAAATATCTCCCGAATGTAAATCTGCAGGTGCTATTGGTGAATAGCTTCA